GCTATTTGCATTTAGCTTAATGAATTGCTTTGGTTTACATTTATAGATTTTGTGCTTTGAAGATTGTTACATATTGTAAGTTAAAAATATTGCTATTTGATTTTTTTTTTAAGTTTGATAACTGCTATACCTAAAATTATCAAATAATGTAACAATAACAATTGTCAAATAATTATAAAATTATCAATATAAATTAAAATAATTTACCATTATTAGACATAAATTACCAATATTTATAAAATAATTACTAAAAATAAATCAAAAGAAATTATCACAAATTAGTAGACTTTAGGATGATAATTACTTGAAATTATCAAATAATATAATCCTAAATACATTAAAATAATTTGCCAAAAATTATCATAAATTAGTAGAAATGTCCAAAAATAGCCACTAAATTCCATAAAATCGATAAATTACTAGAATTTACCAATAAACTATCATTTAATAAATATAATACATTAGTATATATTTACCAAGAAATTAGTATATAATAGAAATTACTAGAAATTAGTAGAAATTATATAATAGAACTAATTTCCACTAATTGACCAATAAACTATCATATAATAAGTATATATTGACCAAGAATTATCATAAATTAGTATAATATAAATTACCAAAAATTAGTAGAACTTAGCCAAAAATAACCACTAATTTCCATAAAATATTATATTTACCGAGAATTATCATAAATTATTAGATAATAGAAATTACCAGAAATTAGTAGAACTTAGGGAAAAATAACCACTAATTTTCATAAAATATGATAAAATAGATGAACTTAGTATAACTTTGTTAAAATGACCATTAAATTCCAAAAATTAGTAGAACTTAGGATGATAATTACTTTCAATTATCAAATAATATGAACCTAAATAAATTACAATAATTTGTCAACAATTGCATTTTATTTTCCAGTGCACCGCATGGGTCCCCACTAGTTATCTTATATAAAAAGTGGCATCGAGCAATTTAATTACATTTGAAGGACTATTATTGAATATTTTTCATAATATTATTTTACCTCTAAGTAAATAGCATAAATATTAAATACCATTTTATTTGTTAATATTACAATTTATTCTTCTCATAATTTATTTTACAATTTTGCCCTCAAACGAAATAGCATGTATATTGGATGCTACTATTTAATGTTTATAATTGTTTCTTAAAAAATATTTACCAAAATAAAAAAAAAAAGTATGAGACTTTCCCATGTCCTAGCACATAGGGCTGTCAAATGGAATGGGTTGGACCCAATGGACCCGAACCAATTAGGTCAGTTATGATTATAGGAATTGGAACTGATGGGTTGGTTCCAGTCCTGAAATATTGCTCCGAATATTATCAGTCCAGAACTGGTTCCACCTAGCCCGAACCAATTCAGATCCGACCCGATTTTCAATATATTTATTATAATTGGGTCCATCAACTCAGACCCAATTGTCCTAAGAACTGATTAATTCAACCCTTGGTCTAAAATGATCTGGTTCGATTCCAGATCCTTAGTATTTTTACCGGATTGATTCTGATTCCACCTAAACCCAACCGATTGACGGTCCTACTTGCACATGAAGGGCTAGTATAGTATAAATACTACTAATAAAATAAAGTGAGCTGACTACTTACGATCTGATATCTCAAGGATTATATTGCCCATTTCATTTGACATTTTTATTTTTTTTCTAACACTTAAATAATTAAAAAAGAAAAGCTGATTAAAGGCAATCAGATACCATTTGATAGTTTTGTTATTATACATATTTTATTCCCTTCCTCAATTTGATAACGGCTGAGGTAGTTGAACAGAATGCCTTATCACTTTGTTTTTGGTAGACAAATTAATCAAATAACAAAATATTTGAAGATATAGTAATAATTCAATTTTAATTTGTCATTAAGTAATTTATAACCTCCCCAATAACTCATTCACTGAAAGACAAAATAATAAGTCATTAAATTTATAAACCCCTTAATAACTTTTTTTCACTAAAAGACAAAATAATAAATCATTCAGTTAAGCTATTTCAGTTGTTATGAAACAGCCCCTAAATACCACATTTAAATACCACTGCTATTATCTCTGCTGGGGAATAGTTATTCTCATTGGCCTATTCATAATATCATGGAAGAATGACCATTTAGCCCAGGGTCAGAATTTATACATTCAAAGTACAGTTGGAATAGGTGCCAGCTTCCAATTGATGCTAATTCACGGGCAAATATGAATGTATAGAGTGTAGATTTTTGACATTTTGATTGTTTATAGATTTGAAGCAGAATTCAGAAATCTACATTAAGCCTATCCATACTTATCCGTATTATTTCATTGCGACTGCAGGGAGTTATTGCATCTTATATTTGCATCCCTCGTTGCTCAATCCATTTTGTCTTTCGGTCTAGTAATCGCGTGTTCATTTGTTAGCTAAAAAAGTAAAAAAAAAAAAGGCTTTACCCCTTTCTCATGTTTTTACTTGATCAAGAGCTCCGGGATTTTATTTATGAAACTAGGAAACTTGGTATTCTGGTAGTCTGGTTCTCATTGAGCAATGCAATTTTTGGCTAATAGCATAAGAAAAAAAAATCTTACCTTAAATTCTATATTACCACTTTGCCCATTGCAATAATTTGCACATTATTTTTCCTTTGTATTTGGTTTGCAAATTTATTTACACTGATGCAAAGTTTTGATAGTGCAAATGATACTGCACTACAAATGAAGTACTGAAACAGAATAAAGCAAAACCTAAAACAAAATTAAACCAGAATTTGTATTATTTTCATTTGCACTCTCAAACATTTGTATTAATACAAATAAAATTGCATTACAACCAAACAAAGCCTTATTTACAAAATCTTGTATCTCCCATTAGATTTTCAATTTTGATATTTCTCCCTCGTACGTGGACTTTTTATTAGTCAATGGCTTTGATTTAAAAGAAATTTTCCAACAAAATAGATTGGTTTTTTTTCCTATTACAAAATTGAAAAAGAAGTGGGGATTAAGGGAGGGCACCATGGTAAACAGCAACTATGATTGGATTTAGATCACAGTTTGTTTAATTGGAATTTTGGACCAAGAAAATGGAGATTTGTTTGTTTCCAACGAAAGGAGTACTGAAAAATGAGTTGTCCTGAAAGGCTGCTATGGTTCTTTATGGACTATGGGCTCGTTTGGGAGGGTTTAACCCTGCTGCTTTGAAGAAGCTACTAGAATATGCTTGAATTTAGAATCATGTATGGCCGTACGATGACCAGATCTAGTTGTCTGATTTTTTACTTCTTTTTTGTTTCTTTTTTACCACGTATTGTTTATAGGCTTTTGAGACAAACCCCGCCCACAAAGCCAAACGCCACAGTGTGAAAGCCCTCCAAAACATCGTGAATTCTAAAATCTTCAATGGATCCAAAGTTGAACATTTTGTTGTATTGAAGAGAGTAATTAGATTCTGAATTATTCTTAAGACTCGTTTGGAAAGGTTTGTCTTTGTATGTAACTACCTCAAAGAAACTACTAAAGAGGCTTTCTTTTTTTTTGTGGGAAACTGCCTAAATGGCTGTAGAATAGCTTAGTATCCGTTTGGGAGGCACATTCAGCTAAGTTGGCACAATTGTTTTTAGGCATTCCCGAAAAGCTATCTAAAAAGTCTGTTTCAAATGAGCGACTCTTAACCAATTTATGCTTGTTTGAGAGGTCTTTCATGTAAATTGCAATGGCTTCTAGCTTTTGAGGTGGGCCCTATACAAACAACCTTTGAACTATGTTTGGTGAAAATTCTGAATAGCCCAAATTCCAAACAGGCACTTCGGGCTTTTGGCATTATGAAGTGGGTTTCACTCACAGTCAATAAATAATCAATAATTTTTGGTGAATACCTTGGAAAGCCCCAAATGACAATCTTACAGCAAAAAAATAAAAAAAAAGGCTTCCCACTTAAGCTTCTTTTAGGCTATGTTTGGTTTGAAGGAAAAGGTAGGAAAAAGAAGGAAAAGATAGGGAAACTATACAAGGTTTGTAAAAGCTTTCATAACTTTCCCTTCCTTTCCCTACTCTTTTCTTCAAACCAAACACAGCCTTAGTATCCATTTGAGAGGATTGAACCATAGTAGCTTCTAAATTTCCAAGATAGGCCCCGCATTAAACACATCCTCAAAGCTATATTTGATGAAAAATCCAGAGAACTCAAATTGACTGTTATTCATTCACTTGAAGGGCTGCCTACTTCAATCTCTTTGAATAGCTTATATGGAATGCTTTATAGAAGCTCTAGTTTAGTTGAATCTTCAACTTGGTCCTCCCAAATAAGACCCTGGTGATTTCTCCAAGGACCGAAGCAACCAAGTCAGAATTTCAGCCTCCCAAACGGGTCACTAGACTTGGCTCTCCATATATACTCTATTAAACATTGGGCATGGGCTTTCCAAATGGGACCCATCACCCATCACCCACCTCCCAAAGCCAAAAGTCCCAGCATCAAATTCCTCCCAAACAGACACTTACAAATGGACCCACCTTAATTTGGCCCCTAAGCTATCACATACTTATATAGAATCACCTCTATAAGCTTTGGATTTTGGACCTCCATTTGATGTCCATCTTCTTAAATAATATATTTAATCTAAGTTGCTTTAAATTGAGTATATGTAAATCCCTGACAATGCTTGTTTTTCCTATCGGTATCACCACTTAGGCATTTACCCAAATAAATAAATGAATAATATATTACTCTATAATCCTAATAATTAAATAGATGCTTAGCCCACAAAATCTCTTTACGTGTCTCTAGTCTCTCCAAACTACACTTGATTGTCCACGTGGCAAATGCTTTTTTCTGTCGAATAAAATAATAAACCGTGCTTTACAACTAAGCACAAAATCCATAGTACTTTTTGGGTTTTATTCTACCAAACCATGAAAAGATTCCCGACCAGTGGCTCTCGCCACACTGTCAGTAAAACCCCTCGGAGGTCGAGTCTATTCCATTGGGACCCGAACATGGATAGAGAGCTAGAGCTCTCTCTGTTTCTCTTCTCTGGTCTTTTACATGACTACTTGAGAGTTGAGAAAAGGTAAGACAAGATTATCAACTATGAAAGCTCCTTGAAGAAATCTTTCTTTTTTTTTCCTTATCAACGGAAAAAGAAAAGCTCTCGAAACTCCAAAAGCCTATAAAACTCACGTCGGAAGGCTCGGGACCAGGAGCACGACCGAGCGGTCCAAGGACCAACAGACATGTGACTGTCGCAGATTTAGGTCGTAGGTTCTGCTCTGCTTCGTTCCTGCCAAAGTGCCAACTTCTTCCCTTTCTCCTCTTTTCATTTCCCCACTTGCTCGTCCACGTGAATTGGGTTTGGGTCACTGTTGAGTGTAGAACCCAGAAAAGGAAAAGGCAAAACCAAAAAGAGCGTCCTTAAACCCAGCACAAAACCCTCTCTCTCCTTCTCACTCTCATCCTTGTTTCATGCTTGTTTGCTCATATCACCTCTAACTCATCACCATCTTCGTGTTTCTGTTGTTGTAACCTAAAAGTTGTACAGACAAAAGTGAACTAGTCCTGAAGAAAAAAGAGAAAAGCAAAAGCATCTGTAGCAGTGCTGTGAAGAAGCTCAGATAGATAGAAGAGATAAAAAGAAATGCAGCAACACCTCATGCAGATGCAACCCATGATGGCAGCCTACAACCCCAACAACGTCACCACGGATCACATCCAACAGGTCTCCATCTCCTCTGTGCTTTTTTTTTCTTATTTATTTTTCTATTCTCTTTTTGTTTTTACATGCTTCCTTGAGGTGGGTTCGTCAAGTCTTGGTTTCTTTTACTTGTTTGAAGAGTTTTCTTTGATGGGTATTTGTTGGTTTTATTTTCTCATGCTTGTTCTCGAATGAATTACTCTCAGTTCATGGTTTTGTACTTCTCGTCTTTTACCCCTCTTTCTTGGCTTGATTAGTAGTTTTGTGTTTTCTTTTCTCTGCTGTTTGTTATCTCTTTCTATTATTCTTATTATCGTTTTAGGGTTTGGGACTTGATAATGATGTAAGGTGATCCTTTTCTCATTTCCAGTGTTTTAGTTTTGTTTGTATGGTTTTTACAGTGATCCGGTGCTTTGCTTGCTTATCTGCCGAGAGGGTATTCTGCTGTTATGTTTTGAGCTTTGGTATTACAATAATAAGTGATAAGTAAAGATTGGAGACTTGGGGTGGTGGTTGTTCCTTATCCATCCATATTTAATAATGTTTGCCTATCAATGAAGGCGAATGGGAGGTGATATGCTTTCATTGTTTCTGCTTCTCCTCCATCTCAATGCCATTTCTGGATGCTAGAAGGAACTATGCCTAGCATTTGATAAAGTCCTTTTTTCCTTAAGGAATCAACGTTTGTAATGCGACTTTACCAATATATTTATTTCATTTTGATTTTCCAAATTCCAATCTTAGCTGGTAATGGGTCCTTCCTTTTTGGTTGCGGATGTGTTTGTGTGGGTTAACCTTCATAGCTTATGAGTTATGTTGGGGTTATGAAAGCAAGGCCTTAAGAAGTTTTGGTTGCAGAAATGATAAGACGTGCTTAGAGTAAGTGCATATTCAATTGCCTGTATCACAAGACAAAATGATAAAATCATGTAGAAAGCCCAGCGTTGCATGGACACGGATACGAGAATTGGAATCTGATGCAGTGATGCATGTCTGACAGTTTAACTCTGCAAGATGAAAAAGATGGGCCAACAGACATGCTACAAAAAAGGACATACTAGAAAAATGGTTAATATTTTTTTTTGAATTTTAAAATTATACACCTGTAGAATAATGTCTAAAATAGGGAAAACGATATTCATCATGTACATTAACTGTTCATTCATGTCAGATAATCAAGATGGAAAGAAAATATTACTTAGAAGCGTGTCCAAGAATCCATGGAGTGTCGGAGTCCAACACATGTCCAATATGGATAGTTCATTCATTGAGGAGAGCACATGCAACCCTACCCAGTGGTGGAGCCTGAAATTTCCTTTTGGGGAGCCAAGTTAAACAAGAAATGGGGAGGGAAGGTTTGGGTCTATTATAGATTTTTTAAAGAAAAATAAACATTTTTTTTTTTTTTTTTATTTTAGGAGTTGGAAAAGCATTAGAGAGTGATCCTTAACATTTCAGTTGAAGATTTGGGGTGGCCAAGGACCCACTTTACTGGTTTTTAACCCTGCCTCCACTTACTAAGCTATGCATATGATAGTTTTAACAAAAAGTTTAGGGGGGGGGGCAAGGACCCCCTACCAATATACTTGGCTCCACCCCTGACCCTACCAAAGCTGAAATACCTGTTCAATAAGAAACACTTGGTTCCTCTATGTTTTATGTTCACTTTTTCTTTCCTCCTTTAATACTCTGCATGTTTGCCCTTATTCCGTCTAGCCATTATTAACCGTCTCTGAGCAGGTTGATCATCCATGTCCTTTCCTTATCACTAGCATTCAATGTAAATCCTTCTCTTTGTTTCTATGATCAGTCCTAAACAGCATTTATTAGCAACCAAACATCCTAGGCTGCTGAAGGAGCATGGTCTCCTGCATCGGATAGAAGACAAATATTGTCTTCCTTAATTATTGTAATGAATTTTTCATTTTTTTACACTATCCAACAAACAGATCTATTATGCTTTTATTCGCAATTTGTAGCAAGCTGATGTCAAGATATTTTTGCCTTCTAATCAATATGTACCATAGGAAGGGCAGAGTGGTAAAAGGATCAACTAGTCATCAACTAGTTGACTGACTAGCCATTTTAGACCACTGACCTATGTTATCCAGATGCAGCAAGGAAACAACTGTACAAGGTGTTGGTTACAGAACTTAGACCAAGAGTTGATGTATCTTACATGATATGGATTATGGAACCTTTGTACCAGTGCATCAAATTGTAATATAAATGATTCAACTTGCCATATATTTGTTTGCATGAATGTGATCTCTTTTTAGCATTCTTATGTGATTACATCACTATCTTTGAGTCTAGCACTTCTATTTTTTGGTTAGGTAGTCACATTTTAGTCACCGTCTAGTCAATGCTGCTCCCTAAATAGGCCAAACTGACTAGTCGTTATAGCTCTGGCTACACTAAGGAAGATATCTACCTGTACTTTGTGTTGCAAGGTGAATCCTGACTAACTGCATTGAATACAACAATATAGTGCATGGTTATGGATTCTGTGTTAGGCATTTGTTAAAACTCCAAAATGGAATGGAAACCAGCTTTTAAGCAACCCTTCTAATAGGATCACTATCTTAGTTTGGTTAGCATGAGTTAGATTATAACATACTGGGTATCATAGTTTTCAAGGTGCCAAGGTACAGCTAGGCAACAGGGATCTCCTTGTTACCTAGGCAATGAGTTTTTAAAATAAAAAAATATAAATCCTAAGGTAATTCTTTATGTTTCATAGCAACAAATAGCTATTTATAACTAATAATTACCAATGATCCTCATGAAATAAGTATAAACCTCCTATCAAAACTAGAAAATCAACATATTTATGGGAAGGAAAAGAAGAAAGAAAAGAAGACATCGAAAATCTAGGGGCTGAGCCCTTGTTTATGTCCTAGGATAATGATTGGATCCCCTATTTTTGTCACAAAAACAGAAGAAAAGAAAGGGGAGTTTATGTCTTGAAGTCTTCTGTCTTGAAGTCTTTTCAAGACAATGTCCACTGAATTGTGTGTCAATGAAACCCAAAGAAATAAGACAATAAGACAAAGAAACTAGTATAAGAATTATAAAGATATTGTTAACCCACAAAATGAACAATTTAGTGTAATACTATTTATTGTAATATTGTAATATCATAAAATAAAAAATTAAAAAAAAAYATTATGTGGCGCCTTCTACAAAAATATGCAAACACTTGGATGAGGTGACCCTCCAAGGCTGCCCTGTTGCCTAAGTGTCACCTTGACAACTATATATGATGGAAATTCTTGACCCTTAAGATATTTTTCCAAGGACCTATTTGATTACAGCTGAAGCGGCTGAACTAAATGGCTATTTGCTTTGCCATTTAGTAAATTATTAAGGAGGTTGTGAGAACTTTAATAGCTGAAACTGATCTGTGCACATGAACAAACTATCTCAGTTGACTTTCCCTCATTTTGTCACTAATTGGATCTTATTCTGAGCCTTCTATAATGCACTCATTTTTTACTCTGCTTTTTCTAGTCTTGCCAATCATCTATCTCAACATCCTCCTCTCATCTGCTCAATTATTATTTGAACTTGTTCCTTGATTGCCCAACACTATGTTTCATAATTCATATAGCAATGCTGGTCCCTTCTTGCTTTGTTTTTCCTTTTAGGGGTCATTTGATAACAGCTGAAGTGGCTGAACTGAATTACTTATTTCTCTGTCATTTATTGGATAAAATAATTACATAGTAAAATATTCGAGCATATGGCAAGCAATCCAGCTTCAGCTTCAACCATTAAGGAGATCACAATCTCTCTTAATAATTTGTTTACTAAAGGCAAAGCAGTTTAGCCAATAACAGCTGTTATAAAATAGCTTCTCAGTCTCATTGGTATAGTTGGTCACACAACACACCAGATACACTCATTCATAAAAAAAAACACACCAGATACACTCCATGTCAACTAACCTGCTCTAATTTCATGGGCAACTTGTTCTTTAATTTCTCCCTCATTATGTTATGGTTTCTTTATCCAAGGTACTGGAAGTAGTTAAATTGGGTTTTTACTAAGTGTTATTAATGTGGTAGAGCTATAATCTGATAACTATTATCTTGACCTCTCTGGTTGGTGCATGGATGCTGATTAGTTGACCACAAAAAAGACATGTTCTAAATTTTAGATATTGATGCAGTCTCATATATAAGCCAATATAGACCACAAATATGCAAAAAGAAAAAAAAGAATGAGATAGAACATTTAGTTTACAGCCCCTGTTAATAAAATATAAAAAAAGAGAAGGCTGAGTAGGTTAGGATAGGCTTGGTGGAAGTGGGGAACCATAGAACTGGTTGTCACCTGCAAGGAAAAAACACTCAGATTTGAATATGAGGGTTAGAACATAGAAGTAAACAGAACCTTCCAAGTTAGTACTACTGTACTTATCATATATATTTGAGAAAAGGAAAGGTATTTCATTACTACATGGAAGCTTGCAAAGAGTAAATTCACTATACAGCCTTGTAGCCATACAAAACTATGCATCCTCAAAAAGGACTCATCACCAAAAAAATAATCAATAAGCTGTCACTCAGCTCATCAAAACTCTTTTCTGCTACAAACATTTAGTACTACTGTATTTATAAAGAAAGATTTCTTGAATCTTAGATATCTTGCAAAACAATTCTCTTCCTATCCAAGATGCTATTAAAATCCTTTCCTTCCTAACCAAACTTGGAAACAAATGAGTCCTGACTTAGATCTAATAGTGATTATTCTCCTAGTAATCAAGTTTTTGACTCACAAATAGCTGCACATGAGTTAAGGGCCTGTGTGGGAGGGCTTGAGCTTAAGTTGAGCTGCTTGACAATTGCAGTTAAAGAATAGCACCTGCAAAGAGTAGACAATATTTTGTGATCACTATGGTGATTTTGTCCTTGAGAAAAAATGATGGTGGCATAACAGCAATGCATTTTAATGAAAGAAGAGAGAAAAAGGACATACTTTGTCTTGTATGGAATTTTGTAAAAATGAAAAACATGAAG